ACATACAAAAAAAACATACTGTTGAATTGAGAACCTCCTTTTTTTGAAGTCGGTTAAGGTTTTTCACTTCAACAGACTTCAAAAAATCATCTCTTATTACGACTTGCAATATAACTATTTCTTTAAATTTAGACAAATTATTTGCATCATATACATTTACGCCTCTCTCGTAATACTTTGTTATTTTAAATTTGGTAATATTGGGTGGGTAATTTGGTAACTTAGAATAATAACGCATAGAATGATAGTTTCATAAAAAACTAACTGTCACAAGTGAGACAAAAATCAAATTCATGTAGGCGTAAGCAACTTGTATTTACGCTCGTCGGACCGCACACAAATATACAAATAATGATGCCATGGAATAACATTTCCCTCAAAAGTGGGGAAATTGTATCTTGCTTAACTCATTGTTAAATTAGAGGTGCCTACAGATTTGCTCGATTTTGTCGATCGTTACTGTCGATCAGGTGCCTACAGATATGCTCGATTTTGTCGATCGTTACTGTTGATCGACAACGTCAAGTGACAGGAATTTTCAAAAATTTATGTTTGGTAATCCTTATGGAAATGGCATTTATATCTGAATACACGAATGCGGACACGACTTTTCTCATTTCTAAATCCAAGATGGCGGACACGTCTTTTCAAATAAATGCAATATGGGAATCGTTTTCGAGGTATTCGAGGTGCTCATCACTAATATGACATTTATTTCTAAATCCAAGATGGCGGACACGACTTTTGAAATAAATGCAATATGGGTATCATTTTCGAGGTATTTGGGGGTGCACAGCACATGGCACTAATTTCTAAATCCAAAATGGCGGGCACGATTTTTCGAATAATGGCAAGTTGGGTGTCGTTTTCAAGGTATTTGGGGCTGCTCATTCCGAATATAGCACATATTTCTAAATCCAAGATGGCGAAGAATTAGAAGAAGAAGAATTAGAAGTCTTATCCGCCATCTTGTATTCAGATATACATACCATTTCCTTATGGTTTACCAAAAATACAATTTTGAAAATTGTTGTCAACCATCTTGGATGTAGAAATTAATGCTACATTCGTAATAAGCACTCTAAAACTCCTCGAAAACGTCTATAATTCTCAATCGTTACTGTCGATCGACAATGTCTGTAGACAATGTCAAAGCAAATCTGTAGGCACCTTATTAAATACTACCCAATTTTTATTTAACTCATATATGAACAAAAACCTACAAGCGAGTTTAAGTGCGACTATCGAATTTGAATATATAAATAGCCTGATATTATCTGTGGGTATGTTTACATGAAAAGTACACGATAACAATTAAGAACCTGAACCTGAAAGTTATTTATACACGATTTTGGAGAACTGACGATGACTTTTTAGTCAGTGTTAGTTTCCTGATATAATTTTATATAAAAACTTTTGAGTCTGGGCAAGACAATTTTTTTAAATGAGTGTATGATGAACAAGAATAATGATTTTTCACATGAAACTAATGAAGGCAAATACTAAATATATTTCGTAAAAATAGCTAACGTAAATTCCCTACAATGTTGTTGCGGCGGTGTACATTTGTAGAAATTTTGCAACCGTCGTGATATTGCCTATTCTCAAAAAATTACGTAATATAATTATTTTCAAAACAGAATAACAAAATGGGGAGAAAAAACCCGTTACTTTGCAACATTTTCGTATCTTGTTGCAACGTAATTAATTTTCTGTTTTAGTGAATATTTATATAAAAATACAAGTTGAAACGCGTTACTTCCTTGTGGAATGTGATGTTAGTGTCTATTTTATATTTGTCTGATCTATTTTTATACCCAATTACCGCACATTTCGTCATTTTTAGCAAAAATTTTTGAGCTGCTCGCGGTGTAACTTGACCTTGAGCACTGACAGCCCGCTTGCTCGTATAGGCCCATAGGGCGTCCTACAATTTGCCTCACTTAGCGTGTGCGGGCTAGGTTTCTATGCGTTATTATTCTAAGTTTGGTAATAATAAATTTTAATTTTCTTGAGATATCGAATTTTGCATCAACCATTGTTGTTTAATTAATACGAGTAGACGCAAGTTAAGTAAGTAAAATAAATAATAAACTTATCGTAATGCTTATTTAATTATAAATGTTTTGATAAATAATAGTTCTCTAAACTTCGCTAAATAAAGGAGCAATGATAAAAGATTATAAAAAATCTCTAATGCTCACTATCGGGAAATTTGAATTCTGTAGGTTAAAACAAAATATCACCCCGATGCTCGATGGCAAATAAAAATAACTATTGCTTCTCTTTCAAACTACATAAACATACGATCACACAAATGAGATAGGTTATAATATTGACTGCAAACCACACTATCAAAATTTGTAAAATTATGTATTAAGGTTTTAAGTTTAGGCATAAAATGCGTAAAAGAACTCAATTCAAAAGTAAATGCGAGACTCTGAGTCTCGCATAGTCAGTGTTGTTCTTGCCCAAGTCTTGCAGGGTCGCTCTTGGTCTTGCTACAATTAGGCTTGCAATTTTTGCAAGACCAACACCAAGACTGCAAGACTGATTGACTGATTTTGGGCAACACTACCTGGTGGTAAGCTACACGCCTGTCCTTAACAGTTGCACTGCCACTCAGAGCTTTAAATTGCATAGACCTTACAGGCACTGCCACTGCGCCCGTTACACTGAGATATAAGTTGACAAGATCAACTATAGTAGTAGTAGTAGAGCTCCTTGTGAAAGAGTTCGTCCAGTACTAAGGTACTTTACCTTACCTATTTCTGCCGCCAAGCAGTAACGCATAACGCATTACTGTGTTCCGGTTTTGAAGGGTAAGCGTGCTGGTGAAGTTACAGGCACATGGAACCTGTCAATTTGTGTCTCAGGGTGTCGGGCTTAGTGGCAGTGCCCCTCAGAACTGTGCGATTTAAAGCTTTGAGTGGCACTGCAACTGTTATGGACAGACTTATCATTATCCCGTCACTTGATATTATAAAAAAAAGTCCCATGTGCCTGTAATTTCACCAGAATCCGTTCAAAACCGGAACGCAGAAATGCTCAAGTTACTGCTTGGTGTTATTCTGTGTTAGTCTTTAAGGTATGTATTTATGGGTCTGTATAACCTAACCTGATTACAAATAAATAAATATAGCTGCTTGTAAAAGGTTCCCAAAGTGTGAAAAGAAACCGATTGTTGGGATGGTAACTTGTTAAAAGATTTTCACGCACATCCTACGGACTTTGGGATAGTTCCTTTTTTGTGGTGGTCAAGCTCTAGACAGAATTTTTATAAATGTATGAATATAAAAAAAAATGTTATATGAATATTAAACATTGAATTTTCTTGCATTTCAGTTTGAAGGTCAGGAGATATCAATGGATAGTAAAGTGGGCGTTTTTATTACAATGAACCCTGGTTACGCAGGGCGCACAGAATTGCCAGAGTCCGTCAAAGCTCTGTTCCGTCCTGTAGTATGTATTTTGCCCGACTTAGAGATGATTTGTCAGATTTCATTGTTTTCTGACGGCTTCCTTACTGCAAAGGTACACACATCATTGTCGTAATGCGATAACCCTTGAAAAATAATGTACATTGTGATTACACTTCCGTTTGTAGGTATATTTTTACATATTTTGGGTATTACCCATTGGCATATTTGAACTTATAAATAATTAGCCTAAATATATAGCCCTACTACTGGGCACAGGCCTCCTTTCACAATGGGAAGGATTAGGCTGTATGTGTTCATCCGCTCCAAAGTGGATTCACATACATCATTAAATCGGTTTCTTTACGATACTTCCCTTCACCAAAAAATTAATGGTTAATTTCAAATGAAATTTCGCACATAAATTCCGAAAAACTCAGATGCATCACCGTATTCGAACCCACGACCCTTATTATAAATAGTAAGTACTAATATGACTTTCAACTGAATTTCAGGTGTTAGCAAAGAAGATGACAGTTTTATACAAAGTCGCTCGGGAACAACTGTCAAAGCAGTCTCATTACGATTGGGGTCTTCGTGCCCTAACTGCTGTGTTACGAATGGCTGGAACATTGAGGCGAAATTCTACAGATCTCAGTGAGATTATGGTCCTCATGAGAGCCTTGAGGTAAGTATCTAGGGTATTACATCTTTGGTGATGATATCAATGAAGTATAGGTACTTTGTCTTTGTCTACTATAGAACAAGATCCCTCTAAGGTCAAGTAAATTCTTTAAAACGCTGATAGTCTAGCGTGAAAGTGGCGTTAGTGACGGAAAAGATGAGGAGTAATAGCTCAGCGTGGAAAGGACATGTCATGCGGAGGGAAGAATGTGACGAGAAGAGTGTTAGATATGAATGTGGAGGGATATAAGGGGAGAGGAAGACCAACGAAAAGATTAATAGATTGTGTGAAAGATGATATGGATAAGAAAGGTGTAAGTATGGAAATAACGCTGATGGGGGAGAGTGGAAGAAAAAACATGTTGTGCCGACCCCACCTATCGTGGGATAAGGACAGGAAGAAGAAGAAGAAGAAGAGAGTAGCTTTTTTCACACCAGAATCTACTGTTTTCTAACAGAGACATGAATTATCCCAAGTTCGTCTTTGAGGACGTCCCTCTATTCTTGGGGTTAATCAAGGATCTATTTCCTGGCCTCGAATGTCCCCGAGTCGGTTATCCTGACTTCAACGGAGCTGTCGTTAATGTGTTGGAACGAGACGAATACATTGTCCTTGATCATCAGGTAAGTTACATTTCGGTATTTTTTGGCAATACGTGTATTTGTGAGATTCGTTAGATTGTTGAATGTACACCATGATTAATTCCAGGTGGACAAAGTAGTTCAAATGTACGAGACAATGATGACAAGACACAGTACCATGCTTGTCGGGCCAACAGGTGGTGGAAAAACTGTCATTATTACAACTTTAGTGAAGGCACAATCTGATTTGGGCTTGCCGACTAAACTTACCGTTTTGAACCCTAAGGTTATTTTCGTTACCATAAAGTACTTTATTATTGAAACAAAGATCGAACGGGATAGAATATTGAGTCGGATTTCTATTTTCTAAAACATTGAACATGAAATATTTAATATTACCACAGTGTTGCTCTTTCAGGCGTGCTCAGTCATAGAGCTCTATGGTATTTTGGACCCTGTTACAAGAGATTGGACTGATGGTTTATACTCTAGAATTTTTAGAGAGATGAACAGGTAAAGACATGTGTCAATTATGTTGTGAGAAGTTGATTATTTTTAACTGCCTCTGTGGCCGAATGGTTACCATGCCGGACTGCCACGCAGAGGTCCCAGGTTCGATTCCCGGGCCGAGAGAAATAGTTGTATGGCCTACAATTATTTCTCTCGTGAGTTTGGGTGTAATTTGTGATTGTCTATGTGTGTGTGTCCATGGCACCCGCGACACAGGGTTTCCCTAGTGCGGGGCTATGTTGAGTGTGTGCGTTATTATTTATTATTTATTATTATTATTATTATAGGGACTGCACAAATTCAGAAGATTTTTCTATTCACAGACCTGCAGCGGAGAACGAGCGTCGTTACTCTTTATTTGATGGAGATGTTGATGCTCTTTGGATTGAGAACATGAACTCGGTGATGGATGATAATAAACTTCTGACCTTGGCTAACGGGGAGAGAATCAGACTGGCGTCATACTGTGCTCTTCTGTTTGAAGTAGGTGATTTGAATTACGCTTCGCCAGCCACTGTGTCTAGAGCTGGAATGGTCTTCGTCGACCCGAAAAATTTGGGATATCAACCTTATTGGGACAGGTAAGTATTCTTACTTCACATCAATATCACAAATACAGTGTAAACCAAACATGGATTATATGATTAAATTACTTATGCTCTCCAGTGAGTATTTTAAGAGGATTGTGAAGCAACGGCATCATGTTTTGTATTTTTCCCTTTACTTTGGGACCTAACCGCGTAACAACGGTATGAATATTTTTTTCTCACCATATCAGGAAGTATGCGTTCTATTTCTATCAGTGAGTCTTAACTTGTAGCTTAAGAAAGTTTGTATGGAGAACCAATAAAAGTTTACCATTATAAAAACTTGTCTAATACAGTGGGCAACTTGAAGTACTTTCTACGCTGACGAAGTCGCGGGCACCAACTAGCCATCGAGATACTGATACGGGAGTCAGACGAATCATAGGGTCAGCATCGCGGTCAGAGGTGTTAAGCACCACCGGGTCTCACTATTCCTCTTTGGCTATCGATAAGGGAGTTAGCCCTTTATCATATGTGACAATCTCCCCACGAATTCCGTCACCCGCCATCGTCAAAAAGTAGTTTCTGACATTGCATATCTCGCGGTTGTTCGTGGTTTTGACACTTAATAGGCCTCCACCTCCACACTTCATTCAATGCATTCAGTGAGAGGTCATCGTCGTGTGGGCTCGTGTATTCAGAGCTTCTAATGCCGTTTGCGTATATCCGAGTACGCCAAATGTGCACATTAGAACAGGCATGACCTAGGAATTATAAAGGTCGGATCTTATTAACGCCTGATAAATAGCTGGTTAGCACATTTTTCAGGCGCCTATAAAAAACCTTGCACACACCCTGTTTCACGTCTGCTTCCTTCACAACGATGGTCAGTGACATGTTCAGATACCGGTATGTTTCAGTCTCGGAGAGTACCCGCAAACGGTTGGTGCCAAAATTAATGCCATAGGAATGTACGACACGTCCCCTGTCGACATGGACCACCGCACACTTATCGATCCCAAGCTCGATCCTAACGGAACTACTGAAATCGTTGGTGATTATCAGTTGCTCCGTCAACCTGTTAGCTGTGGGCCGTATAGCTTGAGATCATCCATGTAGAGAAGGCGAGGCATTTGCGGCCCACCTCTCCGAGACTGAAAGCCTTTTCCCGACCTCTCTAAAATAGTACTCAAAGGGTTCAGGGTCAGGCAAAACCACAGTGGACTCAGACAATTGCCTTGGAAAATACCTCGCCTTATTTCTATTCGGTCATCCGAATTCGGCATCTGCCGACTGTCTAGACTCAGGATTATTCTCCAATGCCCCATGCCCGAAGTATCGAACTGCACGACCCGAACGCTCTAGAGCCATGTTTGGGGCACCGAGGCGAATGCTTTCCTGAGAAATTCCAACGGTTGCGTTTGACAAGTTGGCCAGCGACCGCGTCGGTGAGGAGCAGCTCCTTAATACCGCGGCTATCGCCCGTACATCCATTTTGATCTCCTGACATCACACTGTTATCAACAATGTGCTGAGTTATCTTGGAGCTCAAAATGGACGTTAAAGTCTTGTATATTGTACAAAGACAAGTTATGGGGCGATATTGTGACGGATCCACGGTAGCATCGCTTTTTGGAGCTAAATGAGTGACCTCAGTAGTTAAAAAGTTTGGGAGCGTCCCACTCTTAAGGGCACTTTGGAGCTGACGAAGGAGAGTAGCGTGACAGCACCAGAACTCCTTCAACTAATAATGGTGCAGCCCGTCCGGTCCCGGACTTTTCCAGTTCGGAGGTATATGGACCGCTACCACTACATTCTCTTCGGATATGCTCATCGTTCATAGGCGCAATGGTTGCACACGCATCCTCGACCGCTTCGAACCATGGGCTCTCTTCACGATCGACGGGCTGCGACTAAAGCCATCGCCAAATGGCGACCACTTCTGCTTTGTGCGGACGCTCACCCATCAAAACCACATCAGGATATATAAAACTTCTTTTGGTCACTCATGAAGAGATGGTTCTGTTCATACCTCTTCACCCTTACGGAATATCGCCGAATCCACTTGCCCCAAGTAGCTATCTTCGGTTTCAAATCATCGATGCGCTCTGTGAGTTTTCGTGCAAATTACAGTAAGTCTACAAAAATGTTCTCACCGGGGAATACTTGTCAGACAAAGCGCACCACACTCGGCCTAATCTGAAGCTGGTCAGTTTGCCGATGATGACCCTGGTTCATGCTATACGACCTTCAATCCGCTTCATCCTGGCTGGCTTAGTATTAGTCCTAGGAGTAGTATCACGGAAGAAAGAAAATAATGGAAATGGCATCAAGCAACATTTGTATCAAAACCGGTGTCGCCACACGCACACATAACATAAACGTAATCTTACATTAGCACTAAGATAACATAATTTTGATTGATTATAAATTATCAAACGAAAATAGACAATAATAAAAAAGTTTTGGTAAAAAAATTATTGCTATAATTAGGATTAACCACGGAGTATATTGAAACGGCATTTAAAGCAATTTATTCGAGAACTAGCGTAGCTGACTTTTACACGCACACATTTGTTATCAAATACGCATAAGGTTTTACTACATGCCAATATTAATTGATATTAGCCAACTGGTGGTGACGGATTGAGAGTAGACTGGCTGGGTGATCGAGCTAGTCTGCCATGGCTGGGGACCCGCATACTGCCACGTCCAACCCCAGCTCTTGTCGCGCCCCGGCGATTACCCCTGGGAAGCGGCCCTATTCGCTCATTGTGATCATTGTCCTCCATCATTTATGATGAGCAATTTTCCACCCGGGGCTTTCAGTCACTTTCCCCGATGTGACCGTTTTTTACCCTATTTAGCGCTGAGACCAGTTCATTGACACGATTCTATACATAAATGAACTCAAGCGTTGACTGTTTGCATTGCTGGAACGGTAAAGTGACATGATATTCACTGCGCCGTTCCAGCAGTGAGAGATGAGGTCGTCACTCGTCGCATCCCTATGCTATATTATTATTAGTATTATTTTCTACTTTGTCAGCCTTTGTTTGGCTGTTTTGCACCTCATTTACGGACCGAAATGAATGAAATGAATTTAATTATTATTATTATTTATAATTGCACCATTTGCTCCCGAGTTTCCGATCACGGGGGATAATATAACTGTAAGTATTACATTGTGATCGCGTGCCTACTAGAAAGCGCCAGGCTATTGATTGCATTCGGGCACAACATGGGCTAGCGTTGGCGCTATGATTCAACTTTGTTACTTATGATTAAGACTTTCATCCCAAGGTTTAAGTAGGTACGCCCCGAAATTAGATGACTATACCTCTAAAATTATAATAATTTTTGGTGTTCTAAAAACAGTCTTGATTGCGCTTGTCATAAGAGTTGTTGATTGATTGATTGTAATTGATAAGTTTTATCGCTTTCGAGGAAATTTTAAATTTTTATCTAAAATGAAACAAGGATTTTGATGCTAAAACTTTATTTCATCTCTGAACTAATCTGATATAATGTATACAATGTGAGTAAATTTTAAAGAATTGTCTACATTGAGCTGATAATGATCATATTGCACTGTTAATACAATAGTGTATTATTCAAGAAGGGGACTTTCTCAGAATCCATGAAAAGGAATTGCTCACTTCCCGCAAAAAATCACTAACATTTATGTATGATATAGTTTATTATCAGCGATCGGTATTTATGAGCAATTTTTGCACATTTTCTGACATGTATAAGTAGTGAATAGGTAGGTTTGGGCGCGCGTTTAGTATGCAAATCTATAGAAGATAGGTCTAGTAATACATCTGTATTAATTCCAAGACTGGATCGACTAAGACTTTGTAACTATGGGGCACTAAAGGTATGGTCCCATACAAAAAAAAACACATTTTGTTTTTTCCTACTAAACTATTACATTTATGGCAAAATGCGATATGACAATATTTAATTAGGACAATAGGATCTCTCGATTGGCATTTTCTTTGGAGAGTTATCGTGAAAAAAAACCAATATCCGCAATATCGCTCATCCGACCCATTGTGTCGCAAAGTTAAGATAAATATAGTGTTCCTGCCTGTCCCCAATTACGTCAATTTTTAATGTACTTAAGTGATTCCCCGAATCCCGAACAGGTCCAGGAACTAAAAAATATTGTCTAAGGCATTCTCCATTTTCTGTCTGTTCCTATAAGTTTAGGTAGAAAAACTGTACCTATTCCGATCTCTGTTTATTATAGACACTGAAACAATTTCTCTAATATATTTAAAATTGAAATGGAAATAATAATTTAATATTTTTGAATAAGGATTATTCTGGCCAAAAGTAGTTCACATAAAGTGTGTCTCATTTTGAATTAAGTGGATATCTTTTGATTATTTCGTAGAATATTCGAACAACGGTTTTTTTGACATGTGGAGAATCAAATTTTACGGTCAGTAATGGTATAATATTAAATTTCACTATTTTGAGTTACAACACTATTGTAATAGCGTGCGATATGTGCAATTATTTTATTCAACATTCAACAAATGAAGGACTTATGAAATTTTGATTTTATATAATTTGCTACAAAATAATAATTCTATTTCCGTATTTATCTATTGAATTTGACGATTATTGTCAACAAACACAAGCTCAATTAAGATCGAACAATAAAAAAATTTCTAAACTAGGCACAAAATTTTTGAAGCGCATAGATATTTCTAATTCGATGGTACGAAATGCTCTTGAAATGCTTTGTACGCATGCGCAAGCGCGCGAGCACATTCGGCTTTCAACATTTGAAGAACTTTATTGACTTGATTTTTGCTGCTTTCTGGATTCTCAGCTAATGCATGCAGTCGAACCATAATATTCTCGTCGAATTCATCAATATTTTCGGCTTTTTTCAGCAGTTTCTTTATCTCTTTATTGTATCTACCGGGAGAGCCACCTCCTGCGGATTCTTTATAGACAAAGAGCCTCTCAGTAAGCTCCCAAAACTCGAGTATTCTAATACCATTTTGGAATCCGCACTTCTGCATGAAACAGCTAAA